ATCAAGACTATCTAGTTTGATTTTTTGGTTCAGACGGGCTCAAAATTGGGCATGTCCATTACTAGCATTCAGGCTTGCAAAGGGAATCGCTGAGCTCTTGCAATTGGACTGCTGGCCATCCCGCCAATTCGTCTTCAGCTTGCGCCGTTTCTGTCTCCGGCCCCGCAAGGCCTCATAAGACGAACGTTCAGGCCCAACATGGCTACTCCCAACGTGTGAAAGGCTCAGTGCGTTTAGGGTCTAGAGTCTAGGGTTTAGGGTTTAAGGTTTTCCGAACGTGTGAAAGGCTCAGTGTTCGCGAAGGTGGCGTCTAATTGCCGTTTCAGCAGGAGCTGGTTTGACCGTGAACTTATCTTACTAAACCTACACCCTGCACTTCACACTGCCGGAAGCACGGAGGCACATTCAGGCCAGAAACTCAGGGTGGCAGCAGGCGCACCTGTCATTCAGAATCGAACAGTGGCGTGTAACAAGAAGTACTGAAGCAAATCGCTCCTGAATGACATCGCCGTCAGAGAAGCCCAGTTCACAAACTGTGTCCTGTGTTACAGGGTTCCAGCACTCGGCTAAGCACAGTGGCTTCCACCGTTACCACGCTCACTGTCTAACAGCTCTGTGAAGGGTCTCTGCCACAGCTGCTCGGCCAGACACTGTCACCGAGACCCTGTCTGCATCGAGGATGTCAAGGGCATGTGCGGGGCGTACTTTGAGCCTCCAAAACTCTGTGGGAAGCTTTACGCGGAATTTACGTCTGTCCTTAAAACCCTCCACGTCGAAGCCCACTGTTGATGAGGGGAGTGGCGATCTTGCCAGCGGGCTTTTTGCTTGTGCTCGGGTGGGCCTCAGCGACGTCTCACGCCACCTCCGCGGATGCTCGAAGGCGATGATCAAGATGGAAGTGGTGTCCGGCCGAAAAGTCTGCGGCATTCCGGGGGACCAACATCAGGGCCGCCGTACAAGGGGCTGTCGGACGCTGGCTTCTCCAAGGCAGCGTTGATCTTCTTGTCAGGAAGCCGCGTGGTTGTGTATCCTGCAGGGAGATGGAGTCCTACCTGCAACCTGTGATCAACGGGTGCTCAGGCTTCAACCGAGATTAAGCAGGTTGAGGCATGGGAAGCAGGCTTAGCAAGCAGCAGCCGTCCATAGAACCGCACATGCGTCGCGCCACGCACACGAGCCTTCCAATAGTCCGTCGTCTTGCGAAGCTCGTGCAACTTACTGCCCTCTGCGATGAGGTTGTCATAATACTTGTCTGCAGGGAAGAACTTGACGCCCACAGCAGAGGGTCCACAGGGAGCGCTTCTCGCAGCGGCCCCAGCCGAGGAAGCTGCTGAAGTCTGGGCCGGTGTCACGCGAAGTCTCTTCTTGACGGGCGGCTGATGTCTGTCTTCAACTGGTTCCGATGATTCTGCTGCCGCGGCCGGTGTCACGCGAGGTATCTTTTTGACGGGCGGATGTGCAGCCTGGTCTCTGTCTTCAACTGGTTCCGATGATTCCGCTGGCAAGGTCAATGCTTTCAAAGCCGCAGCGCACCAGTCCTCGCCCCATGAAGCTCGCAGGGTTAGGACTGCCCGCAAATCAGGGGGTGGACAGTCTTGCGTCTAGCATGCCGTGCCCCCGGCCTTGAGGACCCCTCCGGGCTAATTTCCGTTTCCTGTGAAGGCACTGGAAGAACAAGGCAACCTTCAACATGCATTACATTTGCAGAGGCTCTTTCTGGAAGCACGAACAACTGCTCCGCTGGAGAGCAACCGTCAAGACTCACATGTGAGAACCCCGCTCACTTTCCAGCATCTGGTAACTCTGCTTTCGCAGACGGCAGACGTTTCTGGAAAAAACTCTTCACCTGTGAAACCCCTCTCGAGGTTTTCATGGCCGTACAAAATTCGAGCTCCCATGTCGGCAGCCAGCCTCGGCCATCGTCAACGGACGCGGTGCTGCCAGGAATCCCCAAGAGAAAGCGTGCGACCCTGGCCACATCCGGCATTTCAAATGCACGACTTTGCCACCACTGCAAAGGATGAAGCTTCAAGCTGGTTTGCGCCGGCAAAGTGTCGAGATGGTCAAGTTGATGTTGTATGGAAGCACGGAGGCACTCCTCTGCCTGCGCTTTGTCCTCATCCGGATTGACACCATCTGTGGAAGACGACGGCCCAAACACACAGTCGTCCGTGCTGTCTCTTTGCTTCAATGCCCTGCCCACGCGCTTTGGCAGGACAACACTAGCCCCGGGCGGCGCGATCTTGCCGCCTCGCGCGCGCGCCCCTGGCGGTCTCGGCTTTGGCCTCACCGACGGCCTCGGCCTCGCGAGGAGGCAGGCTGAACCAATTCCTCAAGTCTGCGGTTGTCAGGGTGCGCGGCAACTTCCTGCATATGGGCCTCCAACTCTGGCCCTGCTTCATGCGCTTTCTACGCCCATTCTGCAACACTTTGCTTGGCCTTGGCCCGCTCCTCCATGCTCAGGGCCGCATGCGTCCGGAAACGCGGGTCTAAACATGTCGCCATGGCAGGCAAGTCCTGAGCAGTCGTGTTTGCAATGTGCTTCTTGCACACCTTGTCCAGGTCTGCAGCGAGGAATGCCGCCAGTCTCTTCGGCAAAGGCAGGAGGCCTCGTCCACGAAGTGTTTTCCCACATTGCTTATGCAACTCCTGAGGAACCTTCATATCTCGGGCACGGTTGATCATAGCTGCCTTGAGCTGGTGAACCAAGACCAGGTAAAAGGAGCACGGAGTTCGGGCCACCTCCATCATGCGGATGCAGGTCAGAAATGGGTGCATCACCGTAGCCAGCTGAGACAACTCCTTGATCTCAGCGTCTGTGAGAACACCGGGGAAGTTTTGCTTGCTGCGTCCTTGCGTCTGTGCATACACTTGCGCTGCGGGTGCATTCATGACCAGAGACATTATCATGTCTTGCGTGGACGACCAGCGCGTCGCCGCTTCCCTTCTGAAAGAGATGAAACTCAAGCTGTTTTGTTTGGCTTGCTCTTCCATGAAGATGTACTCGTCCGGGTTGTGCAGGAACCATTTCAGAAGCTTCCTCGCTTCTTGACCAACGGGGCTGGCGCGGCCTGCATGGCCACGTGTTCGGGGTCCGTGCGTCTTCCTCGCGGAGCATGATTTGACGAAGAAGTCTGCTGCCGCTACTACTGCTCGGCGCAACACCCGTATTGCGGTTGCGGAAGGGTGGAAGGCAATGTTTCATCGGTAATTGCAGCGCATGGCAGGCACAACCTAGCGCTTTGTTAGAGCTGCGAGCTGCGGCTCTGACGGCCGACTCGTGGTCTGTGAGCACACAGGTGATGTCATCAAGCACCAAGCCCATCTCTTCGAGCGCTGTTCGTCTAGGTTCCTGGTACTTCTCGGCAGTACGAGGGGCACGGATTTCGGAGAAATGCACACAGGTTGAGAAGCGCGGCCAGCATGTGGAAACCACTGACGGCAGCTGCCAAAACTCTGTGTCGGAAGCCGCTGCATGCACAGGGAGAGCCTCAAGAGAAACCAGGTGGAGGCGTTTGTGAATGCCATTCCGGGTCTCGACTGCATAGCTTCCAGCCACGAGGCACCAGGAGCTTCCACGGACTCCATCGACCGGCAGCGCCTCGGAGGTTCCCGCAGCTGTTCTTGACAGCCGCGAGCAAAGCACGCATGCAGGAAACCAACATGGACTTCATGCGCAGCAGGCGACCGTGGCAGGTGAAGAACCTCTGCGGATGCGATGCTTTGGTGTAGCAAAGTCTGCCTCATCAGCATAATTACACGTACGCATTTCACTCTACAACCTTACGCGAGAATCAGTGAGATGGCCACTGTGAGTGCACGCTGCAACCGCTTTGTCGGAGGCGGAGACTGAGAATGCAGAAGCGGATTCCGATCCTGCCCGAGATCTTCCAAAAAGGGTGACACATTGACAAAAAAATTGATAAGCATCAAAAAATTTTGCCCACAGCAGCCATCAAAAAAATATAGGCATCAAAAAAAATTTGCATGGCAATTCTAGGGCCAGGTCCTGCGTTGGACCAAGCTATTGCGGAATGACAAGTTGCAATCGCCTGTTGTGTGTCTAGCTATTGGGGACCTACAAGGTGCAATCTCTTGACTGCAATGTTGAGGAGCAATATTTATGATATTCATGCTGATGTTAACAGCGCTAGTAGTAATAGTAGAACCATCAGCAACGCTTGCTACACAGGAAGTATGCCCTACCACGGGACCAGAGCACCACGGCACCAGAACACCAGCGGACCAGAGGAATACAGGACCACGGGACCAGAGGCAGGACACCGGAGGACCACGGGGCAGCAGGATGTGGATTAGAAATGCTGTAAATTACCGTTCTGGCTGTATTTTTTGATGCTTGTCAGTTTTTTTGATGCTTATCAAATTTTTTGATGCCTATGCCTTCCAAAATCCTGCTTTTGTTAAGAGCTGGTAGCCAGCCGGCCTGTAGCGGACTATTGAAATCCGGACGACGGGTGGGGGAGGCCAGAAAACGACGCGAGCACGACCCCCGATGCTGGGGATCGGGTTCTAGGGGTTTTCGGTCTTCTATCTGAACCAAGAATTCCCGTCCGGCCTCATCCTGCCAACGGCATCGATGTCGAGAGATCGTGGATGAAGATGTTGCCAGAAACCGCTGGCTCGTCGAGAAGACTTAAACTACGAATTTCGGGAGACTTATGGGACCCTGAATAGTGAACATCGCGACTGACAGAATCTGCAGGAGACGAACTAAACCAGTATATATTCAACTATGAAGTCACACTTGAGTAGTAAATAGCGAACTGTCGGAACCGCAAATAGGAATTCAAGAACCGGGATCGCAGGAATCGACCGATTCAGGTGGTTCAGGTTCACGGAAACCGCGCGGAAACGAACCGCGGCCATACTGTTTTTGGGTGGTTCGAGGCTATGGGTTACCCCATGTGCTTGCATGGTCAAACAACTAAGTAGCCTAGTGCCGTTCTCTTGCCGTATGGGCTCGCTCTGGCTCACGATCCTCATCCATTTTTGTTACCATCGTCACGACCCTCTGTGCCGCCCCGTCCCTTGGTAACTCCCAGTGTGCACCTGAGGCAGGTTCTGTTCCCGTCCTCATCATACATGGGTTTCTGTTCCTCTGCCATTTGCTCAGTCATGACCTCGTCCTTGTCCCTCGCCCGTCTCCGGGGTGCTTTGGCGTTTTCGTGAGGTCGCTTTCTGGGGAGCGGGGGACGTCGGTCGTCTGCACCGTGTTCTCGCCAGCTGGTCTTAAAGGTGGTCCTGGGTCTGCAGGTTTGCCTCCGGGTGCTCGGTCAGATAGCATGTCGCCTCAACCCTACTGCTGGGTCACCCCAAGGACGGAGATCCCAACAAGGCCAAGGTCAGGTGAGGACTTTGTGCGCGTTTTGTGGCGTACGGCCTCAAGCCGCCCCCGCTCAGGGAATACGTCCAGCCCCGAGTCTGGAGAGCAAACACTCTCCAGCCCCGAGGGCCCTTGAGCCAAAATGGCTACGGCTGTGCTCTCTCTCTCTTTCTTTCTTTATTTCGTCAGGGCTGTGGGCCGGGGATTTGTCGCGAGCTCGCGCTCCGTCTCTCTCTCTGTCTTTCTTTCGGCAGGGCTATGAGCAGGGGGATGTCTCTCTCTGTCTCTCTCACTCTCCCTCTCTCTTCACTGCAGCTCTGCCGAGGTCTCGGCACGCTCATCCGTCTCTCGCTGAACATGGCCTCACCCTCGAAGGCTCCTGGAGTTGAGAGAAACAGCCCTATGTAGCCGCCCCACTGGGCCGGATCCCTGGTCTCTCCTAGAACATCACTCGTCGGCTGGAAGTTGAAATCGCAATCTCTGAGCATTGCAGATGCCATGCCTCCAATGGCAGGGGCATCACAACTCTCAAACTTGCTGACCCAGGGAATCCAGCCTCCAGCCACGACGCCAAGTCGCAGAGGGAGACTGGCTCGTTGTGCCCCGCTTTGTATGCGGGAGAGCTGCTGATGGAGGGAGTGCGGGGGTAGAGTCTAGAGGGTCTATGTCTGCGTGTCAAGGCTTCTGGCTTCTCTGTCAAGCAGCAATAGAGCCGACATGCTGCGGCAAGACATCCTACAACTTAGGACGTGGGACCTCGAATCTTGATTCAGACGTTTGCAGTGACCGGAGCTGGATTTCTTGGAAGGGTCGGCACGGCGCCTCGTTCTTGAGGTCGGTCCGACGGGCGTCGGAGAGGCCGTGCTTCTTGAAGCTCTTCACAGCACACTTTTCGCCATCTGACATAAGATGCTGGCTCTGCGCTGAGCCCCACTTTTTGCCAGGGAGCTGGCCTTTACTGGTGGCCAGCTGAACTGGACCGCTCATACCAGAACCCAGGACCTGAAGCTTCAAAGTCTGGAAATGATGTTCGATGCCTTGTGAGAACCGCTTCCGTTTGCCGGTGCCGCCTTGGAGGCAACCTTGTAGTCGTCTCGCAGCCGCCTCCGAACTCCAAAAGGGGTGACAGAGCGGCTTTCTGCACAAAGGCCAACAAAAAGGGCTCCCGCCTGTTGGTGCAGTATCGCCCTGTGACGGGGATCTTGCCCTTTTTCTCTATCACCTGGCCACGGGAACTAACGTGAACAGTTTCTAACACCGACTGAACCGTTGTTGCGAGCACCTGAATAAGAGCAGATGAAAAGATGAAGGAGTTCCTGCTATGAAAATCTGGATCCTGTGAGCTTCTCGCAGAGCTCTAACCGGGACACTTGCAGCAAAGACCACCAAGACATGCATAGACGGTCACAGACCAGCATTGGCCGCATCGCTCCGAAGGCCCAAGTTGGCAACTTCCCAGGACCTGCCCTTCTCTGAATGATGTCCCCCCACCCCACAGCTTCACAGCGAACGAGGGAAGAGGCAACGGGTGCAGGCACACATGGTCAGTGAGAGATTGCGTAATTTGCAAGATCAAGGACTGCACGGGGCCGAAGAAGTTTCGAACAGCAGCATCGCTAAAAGCAGGAATCCACTCCCCACACCTCTCAAGCTCAGCGAGATCAAGTCTGTCGCCCCAGCATCAAAAGACAAACGTCTGGCAAGCTTAAGTCCAATAAGGGTGCAATCGCCCAACATCCATACAAGCAGTGAACAGTGCCGCACCTGTGGCAATTGCAGAACGCCCGCACGGCGCACCAAGGCAGCAACGACCCGCACAGCAGCAGCCCCGACCGGCAAAGGAAGAGCACCCTGCCTAAATTCCCTGGACACCAACGATCATGCAAGTTGTATTTCTCGCCAGACGGGCCTCTGTGGTGTCGATCCACTTGGAGTCATTGTCCACAAGGTTCGACCTTTCGACGAAGCGCTGCCGAAGCTTCAGCAGTGGGGGAGCTGACCGGCCTTCCTCCCTCCGTCTCCGAGATGCTTCTAGATGTGCCCAGAAACCTCTTCGGCTGCGAGCATTGGCTTTCGGACAGAGGCAGGATCAGGAAAGGCACTGCAAGACATGCGAGAGCTGGCCTCTGTGTCAGAGCACGGACACCTTCCACTAATCCATCTGAGCAGCAATCCATATCGGGCCAAGGTAGACTTCTAGAAAGTGAGGCCATGTTTTGTCCGTAGTAGGCCACGAATGCAGTCCTTGAGTCAGTGGTAGGCTGCGCACTGGAGCTAGGGAGACTTACCGCCCTAGCATCATCGGCAGTCAGGTAGTGCCAACGCACCCTGTGCAAGTGCATGTGCATCATTGCAGAAAGGGCCAACTGGTTGGTACAGCAAGCTTTGCCAATGCTTCGGATCCCGAGCAACATGCAATGATCGAGAAGAAGCATGAACAAGCACATGCCGAAGTCTCAGTTGCTTCAGACATGTCACTACCTTGTTTTCGGCGAGGCACGTTCTTGTTCTCCACTCGATTCCATCGACAAGCTAGGCTTGCAGGACCGAGTGAAGTTGGTGTGAGACGAGAGGCACAAAGAACATGAGATCGAGGCTGCCAGTTGAAGTGCCATGACAGAGCCATCAAAGGAGGCAAACCAGAATGGGTCCATCCGGCAGGGTCGAAGGTTCAGCCGTTGTGAACTGAACTTGGGCAGGCGCACCACATGCAAGCGTGGCCTGGCACGCTTAGATTGAAAGGGCTTCCCTCAGCGTGCCAACTTCTTGGAAGCCCTGGAACCTCACGGCAGATCAATGCAAAGACTGCAGTTGGCTAGGCAATGGAGCGTCTGAGCGCCCCTCCGATCTTCGGGCAGCGTTGTGAACGACATAGGGGCCTGCCCCACCTGGCTGTCACGAACGACAGCTTCTCGCGACAACTATAACTACAATGCCGACGGCGACAACAACGACAACAACAGCGGCAGCGTCTGCAGCTGCTGCAGCCACTACTCTCACAACGAGCAGCATCTACACAGTCAAGAAGAAAGGCCGTTTGAAAGACAGAGCTACACACCATCACCAGAACCACCACCACCAACACCAACGACACAACGACGACGACAACGACAACGACGACAACAACAACAACAACCACAACCACAACAACAACAACCACCACAACCACAACTGTAACAACAAGAACAATAATACCAATTGTAGAAATACTATTCACATAATGGCAATAGTACCAGTACCAACACAATACAAATAGTACAAATTAACAGCAAGAATACAAATAGTGATAATAAAACACTAATAATCATACTAATAATAACAAGACTAGTAGCAACAACAATAAGAACACTAAACAGTAAGAACAATCATAATCAGAACGATCAAGCCAATACTAAAGACACAACTACTAAAACTAATAATCTAAATACTTGATAAAAGCAACGATAAAACAAGCCAGAATAACAACGGTTTTACCAATACTAATACGAGTACGAATACGAACACGAATACTCATACTTATGCAAATAAAACACTAGTAACAGTGGAAATAATAGTAAGAATAAAAATACGACTGATGATGGATAAGAGTACTCAGAGTAATGATAACAATAATAGTAAGAGAGAGTGTTTCACATACGGGCCCGTAATGTGTCTGTGTCATGTGACTATGATTGTAATCGCAATCATAATAGTAATACTGACAACAATAAGTATCAACAACAACAACAGCAACAGCAACCGCAACAGCAGCAACAGCAACAGCAACAGCAGCAACAGCAACAGCAACAGCAACAGCAGCAACAGCAACAGCAACAGCAACAGCAACAGCAACAGCAACAGCACCAGCAGCAACAGCAACAGCAACAGCAACAGCAACAGCAACAACAACAACCACAACCACAACCAAAAACCAACAACAACAACAACAACGGCAAGAAAAAAACAGCAACCAACACAACAACA